TCTGTGAGGGTGTCTCCAGAAAAGATCACCGTCACCAATGGTGGCATCATCCAATCTGTTGAGGGCCTGAATAGAACAAAAAGGTGGAGGAAGGGTGAATTCTCTCTCTCTGCTTGAGCTGGGACATCCATCTTCTCCTGCCTTTTATAGCTGTTGTTTTTTCCCCAGTCTAGAATCCAGTAAAGTTTGTGCATTATATTTAGTTGTCATGGCTATTTAGTCTCCTTCATTCTAGAACAGCCCAGACTTCTTTTAAAAACTTTCATGACTTTGATATTTTTGAAGAGTCCTGGCCAGTTTTTTTGGTTCGTTTGTTTGTTGTTTGTGTTTTTGCATATGTCCCTCAATTTGGATTTGAATTAGATGCAGGTTTAACATTTTTGGCAAGAATGCTACATAGGTAATGTTATGTCCTTCTCAGTGTAATCACATGAGGCATCCCATGTGCCAATTTGTCACAAGTTAAATTTGCTCACTTAACTAAGGACCTTTCTCCATCATAAAGGTTCTAATTATAATTAATGCATCATCTGTGAGATGATGATACTTTTAGATTGTGTGAATATTCCTCAATATTTCATTTAATCATTTTGGCATCCGTTAATGGTTCTTTTCAGAATTCATTATTACTGTGGTGTTTGCAAAATGGTGATTTTGTATTTCTATTATTCCTTTTACATTTATTAGTTGTCATTCTTCTGTAAAGCAAAACTTTCTCTTCTCCTTTCCAATTTTTTTCTTTCCTTTTTTTTTATGACAGTGCAGACTAATGGAATCTTTTTCAATATGTTGTAATCCATTCATGTAATTGATCATATTGATGCTCAAATGGTCCATCATGTGGCCAGTGGAATCTTTTAAGCTGGCTCCTGTATCTTTTGATATGTCCCCATCAATTTATTGAACTTTTCTTACTTTCTGTCGCAATAAGATATTCTAGGTTCACCATGTATTTTTGCTGCCCTAGCTGCTGGAATCAGCTATTTCTTCGAGGTCATATTTTCATTGTTGTTGTTGTTTGTTTTAGTGGGGAATGGTTTTGAGAAACTAAAATTTAGGTGTTGGGTGTGCTCTTTGCCACAGAGGTGTCATTGCTTCTTGTCCCTCTCAGTGGATAAAGCTAGGAAATATATGTCTTAAAGATTATGAGTTTGTACGATGCTGTTAGTTCTAAACCCAGGCTGCTGCTTCTCCTTCCCTCAGTGTATATCATATTTCCCACCGTTAGAACACTGGCTCCCCGAAACCTTCAGTGTATTTACTCTTTTATGCAATCCGACAATAAACACAAGATAGTTTCAGAATTGTTGTACCAATGCTACTGCCAACAACAAGCTTACCAAGTACAGTTCATAATTTCTTTGCAGTTTTTCCAACTAATAGTGTTTTATTTCTTTAATTTAAAAAATCTTAAAATAAATGTGACAAAATGTTCATATTTCCCAATTCTGGATGATAATTACATGTGTTAATTATATTATTCGTTCTTTTCTTTTCAAAACTTTGTATTGAAGTATAATATGCATATATAAAAGTGCACTTATTCTAAGTGAACAGCTAAATGAATTTTTATCAGTCGACATATATATATATCTATATATAGATAGATAGATCTGTGGGGGGAGGGTTCTTTACGGTAAATACAGAGAAGTAGAATTGTTGGCTTCCAGCTTGTGAGCATTTTAAGACACATTCCTAAATTGTACTTCAAATTCGCTCTAACGGTTTATTCTCCCACCAACACTGTATGAGAATATCTATTTGCCTATAAGCATGCCAAAACTTGATATCAAATAACTTTTTTGCCAGTCTAATGGATGAAATATGAGTATCCCATTGCCTTTCTCTGAGAGGTAATTTTTTAATTCAGTTATTGGCTACTTGGTTTTTGTCTCATGTGACTTGCATGTTTGTTTATTTCCCTGTTGTTCTAACAGATTGTTCATCTTTTTCTTTGTGCTCCCCATATTTAAAGTTGTTTTCTAGTTTCATTGTAATCGTATCTAACTTAAGATTCTGATGTTTGTTAGGAGGTAAGGCTGTAGCTTGAAGTACTGAGCACTTGTGCCAGCATCACTTGTTTATGTAAAAATACTCTTATTGGGTTTTCCTTATTATAAAAGAGATTGTATGTTTATTCCAAATAATTTAGAAAGTCAAGATACTCAGGAAGAAGAAAATAAAAATGACTTCTAATACTATCACCCAGACACAAGATCGTTATTATTTTAGTATGTATCCTTCTTTTTTTGCTTTAAGCACCATTTATCGAATTACTTTCCCTTTTCCCATAGATTTGTGACTTGACTTTTTTTTTTCCCCCTGCAAGGGAAGATTCACCCTGAGCTAACATCTGTTGCCAATCTTCCTCTTTTTTTTTTCCCTCCGCAAAGCCCCAGTACATAGTTGTATATTCTAACTATAAGTCCTTCAAGTTCTTCTATGTGAGCCGCTGCCACAGCATGGCAAAGTGGTGAGAGCATGGAACTTTAACCACGACGCCATCAGGGCTGGTCCAATGTGACTTTACTGCCAATGTGTACTAATTTTTAAAAATGTGGGGTCTGTTTCTGAGCTGCCCTTACAGCTTTATTCATTTGTCTCCCTGTTGTTGTGCCTGTATCTTTTGAAGGGGTGAGTCTTTATGATATGTTCTCTGTAGAGCCAGCTCGCCTGCATTGCTTTCCTAGAGTCCAGATTGGTGGACATGACTTGTGTGTCATCCTGAGTTGTGACTAGGGACTCTATTAAATTTAAAACACTTTAAACATTTGACTAGAAAACAGGTTCAGCATAAAACAAAAAGGCCTCTTCACATCATTTTTCCAGAACAAATCAAATCAGCTTTGCAAATGTCCTCCTGTAAATTCTGAAGAAAGAGAGACCCTGAAGTAATTAGTGAGCGAGTCTGGGAAATGGAAATTGATTGCCTAACTCCCATTTTTAGTTTAATATGTGTAAAATGCTATTATTATCTTTTTTTTCTGCTTTATCTCCCCAAACCCCCCCTGTACATAGTTGTATATCTTAGTTGCAGGTCCTTCTAGTTGTGGCATGTGGGACGCCGCTTCAACGTGGTCTGACGAGCGGTGCCATGTCCGCGCCCAGGATCCAAACCCTGGGCCGCCGCAGTGGAGCGTGCGAACTTAACCACTCGGCCACGGAGCCGGCCCCATGCTATTATTATCTTTTCTTCATTCCTTTCTTCCTTCCTTCCTTCCAGGGGGCTTTCAGAGGTTCACGCGAGAGTTTTAACCCCTAACTCGTTTTTCTCATAAGGCTTTAAATTCCTCCACACTCCCATCTCCTCCCTGAAGGGCTTTCAGAATCACGACTCTCAGTGTTGAAGAGTGGGTTATTGCATGCAAAATCAGGGCAAATCTCCTAAAATTCCCAGCTCCAGCGCTGGCAAGTGAGGAAATTGGACATTTCAATACTTCAAGTGACCTCCACACTCTGAAGTCACTGTCTTTGTTTGGTTCCTTGAGTGTTTCTTTCCACCAGAGTCATTGGGGCGCTGGGGTGGACTTGTACTGGCTCATGAGAGCTGATTGTTAAGTTTTCAGGAATTTTGCAAGCTGGTTGTTAAATACGGTCATTAATGAAAATTCAATTTTATAAACTTACAATTAAAAAATTATATGAAAATCAAACATAATGAATCTTTAAAACTCATCACTTCATAATTATTCTACTACATTTTGCTATTATTTATGCTCTTGAGGTTATTTGTGTCTATTGTAGCTGTAGAGTAGAAGTGCCATATAACGATGTCCTACTGCGCGTCTTTTCTCAACTGTGTTCATTGACTTCTCTTAGTAGCTTGAAATTGGTTATGGTGACAGTATTTACACCACTGAAATTGGAAGAAACTACATATCTGTGTTTGACTCGTTTTGTTGAGTGTGATGAAGAAAATGTTAACAATACAATTTAAACTTTAAAATATATCATGTCTATAGCCCTTACATTGTGAATAATCCCAAAAATTGAGGAAATATTCCTCTAGTATTTGAAAACTATTATTTGATTCAGCAAAGAGGTTGCTTACATCATTGACTAACAAGTGACATTCCCACATACATCTTTGTTATTTAACTTTCCTCTTACTCCTAACGTAAATGAGGATATCAACCAACATTTATGCCAGAACTGTACTCGCTCTTCCTCATCAATCGCAACCCTAGATTGGCTTTGGATACAAGAATTTGGCAAAAATCAACTAAAGTGTTCTTTGAGAATTAATTGTTTATGTAGGCTTTATAATGGAGTATTATGTATCTTATTATCATTTGTAAATTGTGTGCTATACATTCTTTATATCAGTAAAATTTATAATAAACTTATGTATATATCTATCTATTTCTATATATATATTTTAGAATGCTTATAGTTAAGCTTTTACCAGCATACTGCTGATCAGAGGTGACAAAAGACTACCCTAGGCTAGATGGGGTCCACTAACATGGTTTGTTTGACCCATAACAGTGTTATTTAAAGCAGCAAACCAACAAAAGTGGAATATGTGCCAACATTTACAAGTTATGATATTTCATACAAAAACCTGGAATTCCTGATTCTCTTGAAGGATTAGATCTGGCCCCCTTTTATTCTCCCATGGCAACACTCAGCCCACACTGAGCTACTGTGGACTCTTCAGATGGGGCATGTGCTCTCAGTTTGTCGCTATCCCCACCACTCCCAATTGTATCCCCAACCCTGTGACTGAGCACCAGATGCCATTTCCCCCCGTGTATGTGCTGTGGATTTTCTGTTCTCCTTTATTATCCTCTGTCAACACAACCTAAATTGCATTTTCAGTCCAGAAATCTGGTAACCTCAGGCTTGATTTATAAGCAAATTAACTTTCCTCTTATATTGATTTAAGTCTCATTGACCTGCAATTATTTCTTATAAGAATCACTTAAAACATATGTGTAAGGGCTTTGAAACTATTAAAAGCCACCAAATGGAAGATATGCACATTAAGATGCTCATAATTTCTAACATCATTAATTTTATACTTTATTAATAAAAATCCGTTAAAATTCAATTTGTTACATTTTCATTAACTAATGACAGTAAATATGTTTATTACTAATATTTCACTTACGTTCTTCTTGCCTTTCTTTCTCCTCCTTTTTTTCTCCCTTCTTTGTCTTTTTCTATCACTAACCTTACCTCCAAAGTACAATGTCAGTAATGAGGTCATTACATTTTTCTATTATAGTTATACTTTGGTCTTAGTTTTGGCCTAATTTAAACACTGACATTATGGACTCATGCTAATTAGCTTGAATGGCCAAATCCCCCACCAATTAAGCAAATGTAGACATTTCAGGTTATTTCAGTTATTCTGTGTTAAGGTTAAGAGAAAAATGTGATGAATGTGATCCAAAGTCATCAACTCCAAGTCATCCTGTTATTTCATAATACAACTATTTCCTATCATTGTAGTATCACAAATGCAATCATCTTTCAACTTCTTTGCACTCTGAGTTTAGACATTTGTACCAAAATTACCATGGATTCTTTATATTCCACTTTAATGGTAAGTTGGGTCTCCAGGGAAAATTTTCTTTGCACAATGATGAGTCAGTTTATTTTTAAAAAAATGTTGCCTTGGTTCCTTGTATTGGATACACACATACACATGTAAAACCATTTTGTATTAACCTTGTCATGCGAAGTGTCTTTAACTTCCAGTCTGAAACTTCCAAACGGACTGAGTCCTAAAAGTTCTTTTGTTAATTACCTGTTAGTAATATGAGCATTTTTACCCTCTGGAAGAATGTTATGAGTGATTATTAGATTCCAAGGCTAGCCCCTAGTATGGTTAAACATAGTTCTAATGGTATTCATCCAAGTTCTGATTTCTGGAGCAGGAAGGAGAGGAGGAGGAGAAGGTGGATGAAGAAAGTGAGAGGAGAAATGGGAAGTGATGCCTCAGGGACAAAGGAAGAAGGAGGCAAAGAAGGAGAAAGAAAGGAAAGAGGAGGGCTAAAAGAGGAAACTTTCCTAGGATTTGCTCTAAGCAAAATTTTGAGGTATATGCAATGGTTTTTGTTACCTCTAATTTTCGTTTCTGTATCCCCCTCCTCAGAACCCTACTGCCCTCATTCAATCTTAAGGCCCCACCTGCTCCGGGCCTGTTCCACCTCCAGGCTTCAAACCTTGCTTCCTCCACCTCCACAAACACACTCATGAAACTCGCCTTTCTCAGTGCATTTGTTCTTAGCAAGATGCTTGGAAAATGTCAGTCTAAGAGAACTTCATCATTTTGTGGAGCTCACAGGCCAAAACCTCTGAAATCTATCATTCTCTACTTAGGGGAATTCCAGGCAATGTAACAAAATGAAGCAGAAAATATTAAGGCAGAGTGTTCTAGGAAATTCCTTTCTTGGGGGTCATCCCCTCTGCTGAGCTCCACTCAGCAGTCCCTGGTGTGCGGTTTCTCCATTTCTGATCTGACATTTCCGCACAGACCCCCAGTTGTAAAGACCTAGCTTCTAGCTGGCCCTCAAGATGTGTTTCTGGACTGAATCAAGTTTATTTTTTAGTTTCTTTTTATTTTGGTTTTCAAAACAGCTCCCGTGGTTGGGTGCAGAATGGAGCAGAGAAGGCAGGTTATGTGTGCGTGTGGCTCTGTGAATATGTGTATTTGCAAATGGGGGTTGGGGGGAGGCGAAGTTGTGGGTAGGGATACCCATGGCCTTATTGCCAGATTCCTTGTTCAAATTACCCATAGTTTGCCAAAAGTTCCAGTAGGTGGACACAGTTACAAAGTTAATAAATGAATGTGACAACATAGCTTCTGTTACTTAGAAGTGGGAAGGTTTTAAAGTAAGAAAAGTGGGGGAAGTTATTGGTAATGCTGTCAACGTTTTCAATACTATACGATTTTAAGGATGATTCCCTGTTGAAAAGGGCCATATCTAAGAAGGAGATATACATACATGCTTGCCAGCCTTTGTGTAACAACGTGGGCTTCTCTCTGGGTTTGCTCTCCCCACCATTGTGGATGACTAAGCTCTGCTCTGGGGAGGGTTGCTTGGCCTCGGTGCTGATGCGAAGCCTCTTCAGACCGCAAATAGCCAGGTATTCAGTGGGGAGAGTGTTCGTACTGCACAGAGACAGCTTGAGGTCCCGGACCAGCGTGAAGTTCAACAGGAGGCCCAGTGCAGATGTGTCTGTGAACCAGATGGTCAGGTGGCCACTGTAGCTGGTTCGCTCTACCGCAAAAGGCAGCACAGTTTTACAGCTGCACATCAGGTTGGCCAAACTGTAGTCACAGTCCGGGATGCCTGCAGAGCAGCTGCAGTTCCGAATGGTGTTTTCCTTGGTGAAAATGAGCGTGCTGTTCTTCTGACCTCTTGTGAAGCAGTCGAGTGCAAAGATGCCCAGTGCACTGATTAGAAGGAGGCTGTGCCCAGAAGGGGGAGCCATCCTTGTCTGAGCATGGGCCGCCGTGCTCGTGTTTCCCCTTCACGAGCCAGTTCACTGGAACTCACCTGAAAGAAAATATGCAGCTCTGTCGTCACAGGCTCTCATTAGAAATATGCAGCTTGTGGAAAAGGAGCCCCCTACACAACCCATTGTAAACTTTTCTCTCTTGCAGTTCTAACAAAGGCAGGCAATGCTTGGAGCCCAAGCGCAGGGAATGCTCTTCTCAGGGCCTCCTGAGAGGCAGCAGCCAGTCCCCCAAACTCTGCTCATCTGAGGCATGAAACTCCCTGTGATGTCTGCTGATAGCGAGATTAACATAGCAAGCCAACAAGTGAGCACGAGCAGATGCCGGAGAGGAGACCTAGTGCATCCTGTCTCTGGGCAGGATGTGGAGGGATCTGAGTGCGCACATCCTCTCAACGTCCTGTTGCTTGTGCTGAGTACCTGTCAACCCCCGAAACACGCACATGCCCTCCTCCCCCTCAATATCTGACTTCTGGAATTCAGGAGACAGTTCCTTGTTGGGTGCAGCTACCCAAGTGCTGCCTATTAAATAGCATAGCATGAATACCAGTGAAACATTTAGTTAATGGTAAACTTGAAGTTCTAACTGGACAAATATGCCCCCTCGATCACATTAATCTGTTTATGGTCCAGTCATACTTTTCCTGGCCTCCTAGAAATGTAAGTATTAGAGTCAATTTTAATTCTGTTAATGGACAATGAAAAGGCTAATCACACACCAATTAATCACAACGATCTTGATTTATTTACTCCTTTCCTAGAAAAAAAATCTTATGAATTGATTTTATCAAGTAATTTATTGTAGGGCTCCAAAACTAAGCAATATGTAAGCACTGCTAAATGATCTAAATAAGATAGGAATGCATGCGTAGTTTAAAGAGCAACACTGATGCCCAGTTTGGGGGAAAATGCCCTACAGTGTCTGGCATATTATAGCTATATGATCTTCTATTATAGTGTGATTGGAATAAGATACACATTATGAAATAGGACTCCAGATTTCAGTTTTGCAAAAATAATTAGATTTCCCCTGAATTACCTGATGACTGAAGAGAAACCAAAGGATACAACTCACTTCGTCTTTATTTACAGAGCACCACGGGTATGGCAAGATGCTTGCAATGAGACTTCTGACTAGGAGAGTCCAGAACTAGTGACAGGGCCCCCACAGCAAGGGCTGGGGAGTACAGATGGAAGGGTCAGTCTGGGAGTGAAACGTGTCCAAAGAGGATGATGACAACAGGAAAGAGGCTGAGCAGACATGCAACATGTAGGGAGCAAGATGAGGCCATGAGGTGGCAAAGCAAGACATGAGGAATCCAAGGGAGGCAAAGCCAAGAATGCCAGGTGGACAGGCAGGCAGCACAGTCCGTCAGCAGGTGGCTGGAGTGCTGGGGAATTAAAAATAAGCTCAGTGGGGCTGGCCTGGTGGCGTGGTGGTTAAAAAGAAAAAAGCTTGGTCCAGTAATCTTGAACAGAAGAGACACTGGTTCACGGTAATTGTAACTTCATTCATTCATTCATTTATTCAGCACATGCTTATCGGGAATTTATGGGTGTCAGGCACTTTGCTAGCCCTGAGGATTTAGCCCAGAATAAGACAGTGAGCTTCTGGAGCTTACATTCTCATGGCTTGATTCTGCTCCCAGAGCCCAAGGCGGGCCAGGCCTGCACGTGAGGACCAAGGGGCTGCAGCAGTGGGAGGTGGAGGGAGGCCAAACCAGGAGTTAGGTGCCATCCAGCTCGGGCTATGTGCCAAGACCAAGCAGAAGAAACAGAGACAAATGAGACCTGGACCCTGTCCTCCAGGGGCTTATATGTGAAAGAAGAAGACAAATAAGACCGAACAGAGAAGGGCTGTACAGAACATGCAGATGGTTATAGGAACAGAGCAGAGAAATAGATTAAAGTCCATCTGGGGGACTCAATAAGGCGCTTTCTAGTGTTTTGTGTTTATTTTGAAGTTGGCACAGGGTTTTCTTAAAGGACTTATTCATTGGTTCATTTTGTAAAAAAAGGAGGGGCTTTAAGAAACGTGTAGAGGCAGAATTCTCCCTAAATGAGAGGCTTAACAGTTTTACATAGTTTTAGAATGTAGTGGTGACTACCCCACTTAGTAAGGAACAATGAATCATTTATTAATTACGAGATAATTTTAGATGACCAGCCGTCCCAGATTCCACTGGAGGTTTCTAGGACTTCATGTCCCAGGGACCCTGTCATCCCAGAACTAGGAATGCTGCTGTGGATATCATTGGTCTGCTCTGATCCCAGCCTTAAAAGGAAAGAGAGGGAAGAGAGTCTATACATCAGCCTGGAACCTGGTGAGAAAAGTGTCTACCTCATTCTTCAGGTGCTGATACCGTTCAGAGGCATGCATGGAAGAAGAAAGGGGCTAGGATGGGAAAGGATATTGATTTCCTGGAACAAGTGGGGCTGGAAGTCCCCAAAGGGATTTGTGAGCAACTTCCCAGCAGTCAAGGCCCTAACTGGACGTCAGGGTGGCCCCTGCCTTCTGGACATCAGGGAGCCCAAAGGCCAGAACCAGGAAGTGAGATGCAGGAAGCCTCGTGAAGGTGTGCAGAGTGGGACTAATATCCCTGGTAAGCAGTTTATGGGGTTACCACGAAGATGCCAGGTGGACATGCTTCTCCTTCAGTTTTACCATGAATTCCTTTCTTTAGGTTTGTTGAACATGGATTGTGAACACACTAGTTTCACTATGTATTTATTCATTTGTGGGCAGATTCCAGCAGGGCATAAGCAGAACGGGTACAAATATCTCATGTTGCCCCTGCCCATAGTAGGGATTGTACTTTTGGGAAAGAGACTTTTCTCTGGAGGTTGCTCAGCTTGTACAAGGGAAATGTGGTGGATCTGTTGGTGACCATCTTGTCTCCAGAAGGGGCGAGCTTGTTTGAGAATGCAGCCAACACAGAGAAAAACAGAGACAAGAAGTGGAAAGACATTCCTAACCTTTTTTGAGTACCTGGGTCAAGCCATAACTGACATTCTTCTTTGATTTTTTAAAATATGTGAACCAAGTTTTTTTTTCCCTACTCAAGCAAGTCTGAATTTGGATTTCTATAACAAGCGGTTAAAAGAGTCTTGGTACACTGACACTTGGTAAACTATGTTTTTTTCATTCATTCGATAAACATTTGTTGAGTCCTTCTACTGTTTGGCACTGTGCAGGAAACTGAGAATGTAAAGCCAATAAGAGCTCCCTCAAGGGGTTATACCCTGGTGGAAGAGACACTTGAACCAATAATCACAGTACTGTGTGATAATCATTATAATAACAATTTGTATGGGGTGTTAAGTCTGCACTAACTTTGTCTGGGTGTGGAAGATGTCATGGCAAGCTTCATGGAGGAGGTAACATCTGATTAGGGGAATGTCTCTTGAGTGGGAAAAAGAAATGGAAAATTACCTATGTAATTAGTATAGAGTGACCAGAATGTGAAAAATCCAAATGTAGGACAGAGAGGTTGACAGGCTGTGAGGTGGCAGGGGTGTCAGTGGGAGGGGGGAGTCAGTCTGGTTGGACCAGAGCTCTCTGACTTGCCCTGACTCATCATTTTCTCAGGATCCCAGCGTTTTTCTGCTCCATCCCTGAGACTTGCCTCCCATGTCCTAATAGGAGACCCCTCCACACCTCTGCTATGGGCAGGGGCGATGTGATGTATCTGTGCCCATTCTGCTTATGCCACACTGGAATCTGCCCACAAATGAATAAATACATAGTGAAGTTAGGGTAAAGGTCACTGCCTCCCTTATAGTAAGGTCTAATGCCATTAAGGTTGGGGGTAGGGGTGAGAGAGTATGCTCTGCTCCACACAGTCGTTCAAACTTTTGTCTATAGTTCTACCATCTTCTAGGGCCCTCAGGTCCTCCGTAGGATTTTCTGTCTGCATTTCATTGGCCAGAACTCAGCCACATAGCACCATGTCACTGCAAGAAGCTTGGAAATGAAGTCCAGCACTGTGCCACGGGAGGAGAGGAGAATGTGGGTATTGGTGGGCACTAGAAGTTTCTGACACACCTAGATTGTAAGACATAATAAATGGCTTTATACAACCATTACAAAAGCTCAGGTGGTGTCAATCCACCCACATTTTTCAGGAAAGATGCTGAAAACCATGTATGATCATTAAATTTTTGAGCCTTTAAGTCACTGAACATGTTTAAGAACTAGAGCTACTATTCTGAATCAGTTCAGATATTATTTTTGTATTGCAGCTGAAGAAATATCAATAGCAATTGATACCAGCAACTAGCTGCATGAAAGCAAACACTTCTGAATTAAGCAGATACAGGCATCAGTTACTTCGAAACAAATTCCACACAGATTCCTTCTCAATCTAGGATTACACCCAAAATTTAGATAATGTTTATACTTGGCTCCAAAAGGAATGTTTCAAACTGAACTAGTTGTGTTTATAAGAAGATATTACTAGTAAGGAGATACTGTGTCAGTGGGAGGATAGCGTTTGGACTATTTGCCAAAAACAGACTTGAAATGTTATGAATAATGATGTTTTGAACTATAGTCTTAACACAAAAGGCAAAAAATAGAATTGTGGAAAAATATAGTGGTATTCTCCAAATCCTTACAGCAATTAAAAATCAAGAGCGATTTAAAATTGTAATGCTGCAGTGAGTTTAATTTGAAATTAAAAGTGATTTTTATTTTAAAACTGAAAAGTCTCTTAGGGAAAAGACTCAACTGAAGGAAGTAGAGAAATGAGGACCACAAACTGATGAGATGCTCCAGCAAGAAGCAGATGGTCTGAAATACAAATCTGAGCTGCAGCACTGGGAAGAAAGGCAGAAAAAAGCCGGTGTCTGCGCACCCCATATACCCACTTTGAAGCCAGGACTTGGGGAGCTAGGCAAGGATGCCTCTCACAAATGCAATCTCCAAAGTGTGTCCCTGCAAAAATCCTTGAAGATTCTGAGGAGGTAAAAATGAGAGGAATTTCAGGAAATAATTTGGAATCAGGGGTGTATCCCACAAAGTGAGACGTATAGTACATTCTTGGGGTGTATTTTATAAAAAGGGACCCGAGGGTTTGCTAACTCTGAGAGCTATACGATGGCCTCCCTCACCCCAGAGGTCTAATGAGTTGTCCAAGGAACTTAGCATGGACTCTGGGAACAAAGTACTAGGTGACCGATTATAAGGCAGTGTGATTGGTGGGTGCTTATTAAAGGCAGATCAAGTATTAAGCAGGAAGAAATGGGAAAGGCTCCCAAAGGGGGTGCTGTTTGGGCTAGGCAGGAAGCAGGGTGGGATGAGGAAAGGTGAGGGGCTGCAGATAGAGGGTCACCTGAGCAAAATCTCAGGGTCTAGAGTACTTGGCGTGTCTCGGGTGCCCATGAGGCTGGGAGCACAGGCAGGACAGGATTAGACAGGACTGTGCCCACCAAGCTAACGGGTTTGGTCTCCAAACTCTTCTGATCTTCATTCCATCAATAAAACCTTTAAAAACCCTCCCCAATAGATGTAATTTTTTAATTTATAAATACCATACTTTTATATTACCTACATTGTAAACAGTACACAAAGAGTAGAATTTTTTAAAATTTGAGATGAAAGATAAAAATTAACGTTAGGGTATTTTCAGCTCTGCCCTACTGGCTTGGCTTGTGCACTCCCTCTGATGTAAACATCCCCTTTGGAGGCCCCTGAAAGGGGCAAAGATGAGGTGCTGAAGGTTTATAAGCCTGGGAGATCTGTTTAGATCTGTGCTTAAGGAAAGTCATTTAGGCGCCAGGTAGAGATCGAACTGGAGGAGGAGAATTGAGAGAAAACAATGAGTTTGAAGCAAGAGAACACTTTTCTTTTGTATTTTCTTTGAAGGTTTACCTCTCTCCATTTGCTGACTCCTTCTAACTCCAGGATCTCCGGATAAATCTACTTCCACATCTGGAATCCTTGAGGGGGTGGAGAGGACCAAGACGGCAAGCTTTAGGAGGTAGGGATGAGGGTGAGGCTCCTGCTCTGCTGAGAGAATGCGGCCAGGACACTCTGAAACCCTCGGAAGGAACAGGTGGTGTTGGAAGCAGGGGATCCCAAATGCGCAGCACTGGAAAGCATTCCTTGTTTCATTCTCAGCATCCCAAAATGGCTTGCCTGGGACTCCAGTCATGAAGACACCCACTCTGCCCCCTGATAGCCACGAGAAAGGCACAGTTCATTTTCTCAGACTCTTGGTGGTTAGTTAGACTGGCAGCAAGACCAGCTGCTAAGGAAGCTAGTTATGGGCAAGGTTATGATGTCGGTGCAGTATCTTTCCCATCCCCAGGGTCCACTTGCTGTGCTTTCATTTTAATTCCTTGGTCATCCCCTCATCCACTCTTTCCAGATGCCCAGGACTAAAAACGCACTCTTATATAGGGGTCTACTATCACTTGCTTAAGCCCTAATACGAATTTAAAGATTTTATTTTTTCCCTTTTCTCCCCAAAGCCCCCCAGTACATAGTTGTATATTCTTCGTTGTGCGTCCTTCTAGTTGTGGCATGTGGACGCTGCCTCAGCGTGGTTTGATGAGCAGTGCCATGTCCGCGCCCAGGATTCGAACCAACGAAACACTGGGCCGCCAGCAGCGGAGCGCGCAGACTTAACCACTCGGCCACGGGGCCAGCCCCTCTAATACGAATTTAAATAAACACGTTCTTGCCCAAGGGTATTTGCGCTGTAAGACTTATCGCTGTCTTGTCCCGTGTTAGAGGGATAGCAAGGATTAAATAGGAAGTATAGGAGAAGTGCTGGTGGAGACTGCTCTCCAGGACCCCAGAACTGAGTGGTCACCTGTTCTCAGGTCCAGTTCCCACTTGCCCATGGCTGTGCAATCACCCTTCCCATGCAGGCCAAGGAGGCAATGTCGGCTCCTCTTTAGTATGAAGATGAGATGCTCATGGAGACACTGTACGAAGGCTTTAGGTGTAGGACCTTGAAAAACTCTTTGAGAAAAAGGATTTTTAGCATTTTCCTTTCCTTTGGCTCTGTTCCACAAGTGCACCGCAGGAGGTAGGTTAGAGATAAACACTACGTAAGATGATATTCAAAAGAGGAATGACATCCTTGTTGTTTAATATTTCAAAGCTTATAACGTTGAAAGTTAAGTTAATTTGGGTCTCTCCTCAATGTTTTCTTACTGTGATGAGTGTTGTCTTTTCTTTCTTCTTCACATTCCACAACAGCACAGCCCCCATCCCTGGTAAGAGCCGTTGAATTTTCACACACCCTCACAAGTGTCTAATTGTGAAGCCACTGCCTTGTGCAGTTTCTGTTGACGAAGATCACTTCCCTTTCATTGAGGTTCTTTGTGAGAGGCAGGAAAGGGGACTCACCGTGATTCAGAAATGGTCATTCTCGTGTTTGATTTATGTAGTAGGACCTAAACTATTTGCTGTCATCTGATATATTTCCTCATCTAGAAAAAGAGGAAGTAAAAGTCCATGTCTCCATAAGTGGGAATTTAGGCAAAATTAGCTTCAAGCATGGAATTTGGGCCTTAAGAGGACACAATTTAACTATTTTTGTGATTGTTCGTGTTCAACTCATTGTACACTGTTGGGTCAGTCAGAGAGTGTTTCTGAGTCATTTCTCTCAGTGTGGCATGGGGATGATAATATCTACCATGCTAGGTTATAATAAGAGTAAAGCAGGATGCATGTGGCAATGTAGATAGTCTACTAGTGCTATTCATAAGTACTGTTACTACTACTTGTAAGTATACTGCAGTATACATAGTATTATAATACTATTCATAAACTACGATATTTTGTAATGTCAGAATTATAGTGATAATAGAAACATATTTGCGTGCTCTGTCAGGGCATTCCAAAAGCCACCCCAAAGAAATCTAACTGGTTCATTTAATACACTAGTTGCATCGAAAACATTTGAATAGAGAACAGGCTCAATAAAAACCAAAAAGACCTCTTCGCATCATTTTTCCTGTAACAAACAAGTCTGATGTAGAAATGTCCTCCTGTAAATTCTGGGGAATGGAAGGCCTTGAAATTACTAGTGAGCAAATCTGGTAAATGGAAATAATTGTCCAATTCCCATTTCTATAAATTTACATGTGTGTAAAATGTTTAAAGGAACAGCAGGAGTACGGACTATGATCAAAACGCTTTATTTCTGGTCTCCTAGTGTGCCTGCTGGATACTGTGGTGGGCTGAATAATGGCCCCTACAGATGTCCATGTCCTAGAACATATGAATGTCATCATACAAAGCAAGAGGGACTTTTCAGATGTGATTAAGTTAAGGATGTTGAAATGGTACCTTATCTGGATAGGCCCAATGTAATCATAAGGATCCTTCTAAAAGAGCTACTGGAGGGGACAGAGAAGAAAAAGGCAATGTGACAACAGAAGCAGAGATTGGAGTGATGTGGTCACAAACCAAGGAATGTCAGCAGCCTCTAGAAGCTTGCTGAGGCGAAGAATGGATTCTCCCCTGGAGACTCCAGAAGGAACCAGCCCTGCTGACACCTTGGCTTTGTCCCAGTCAGACTGATTTTGGACTTCTGACATCCAGAAATGTAAGAGAATAAATTCATGTTGTTTTAAGGAGCTAAGTTTGTGGAAATTTGTTACAGTAGTAATAGGAAACGAATAAAGAGATTATTAGGAAACTACAAACTACCCACATCAAACCACTCCTTTGGACCAAATGAACTAGCCCCTCTTTATTCACAGCCATTCAGTATTTGCTAATGGCTTCGTGTGTCTTATTCTTTCACTAGACCGAATCATAAGCTCTTGGAGTAACTATGTCCTAAGCTCCTTTACTATTCTTCTGAAGTACCAAGCTCAAAGCTGTCCTAGAGTAGTCCCTTCATGTGGGACCCAGCCCAGTCTAAACAATGCATCCGGACGTGGTGCATAAGTTCAGCAGCTGACTGTACCCAGGTGGTTGTTTGCATATGCAGAGTTGTCTTAGGAGAAAAGAGGAGAGGTGAAGGTGATGTGTGAAGGCCCGGGGAAGGGATAGTGGAGGGACAGGACGGCATTCGTCTCTTCTCAGCCGGGACTAATTAGTGCCGTGGGCTGAGTCTAGTGGAGCTGCAGGCAGAGGCTGTATGGACCACTCTCAAGAACTCTGAGATGTGGGGCACAAGTGGTCCCTGCCCAGGTGACAAAGTGTGACACTGAGTGAGGGCCAGAGTCATTCTCTCCCCTTCTGCTCTAGTGCAGGACAGCTCTGGCACAGTGAGGAATGAGGCTCAAGCAGCACTATTTGGCCCATCCTGGAGGGCAGACAAGGATGCCCCTGGACACTGCTCTCTAGGCAGTGAATCAATGGGGAACCCAATGGCAGAGGCAAGGGACAGTCAACAGTCAGTGGCGGTCAGGGATAGAAGAAGGTGAAAGGACCATTTGTGAGCACAGGTAAGACACCTCTGGGGACCTGAAGAAATAATTGGAGGAGACTCTGTTGTGTAGACAAAGTGGTAGGAAGGAGGCAAGGACCTGTATCAGGTAGATGGGAGCACAAACCAGCAAAAGGCAAGCTATTAGTGTTGATTTAGCCTTATTGGTGTCTGTTGGTTGGTAAGTCTAGGATCTCTTCAAGTATCAATTAGATTACTGCTTTGGCATTGAATGTATTTAATAATAGAAATGGAGTAAAGTGCTCAGAAGCTTCTAAACTAAGATGATTAAGAACCATCTGAAAAGTAGACATTTTGTGTTTTGAAAGCATTGAGCTCAACTGGGTGTTGATTTCACCCACTAATTTGCTTATTGGATCTGGACTCCTTACTGTTGGTACACTGTGTAAGTCAGGCTCTGATGTGACAAGGCCCTGGTCTTCTTGTTGACCATGGTTTCCCCAGTCCTTAGCACAGTGCCTAAGACACAGAGGCACTCCGTGAATACTGATACTATCCAGATGAGTCCCTACATTAGCTAAGTCAAAGGTGCATATTACGAATCCCTTATTCCCTCTTTGACCTTTCACCTCTGAGAATTCTAGAGTGTATCACGTTATCAAACCAGCAAGCAAAATTCATCTTCTTCTTCAGCAGGAATTTCAGCTTATGGCCTAGCCATGACAGAGGGAGCATGATGAGATTTTGAGTCTGCATGAGAGGGTGGGGAATTTTAGCCCAACATCCTACACCTTGCCTATGAGTCTCCTTCAACACCATTGAATGACATCTGGCAAAAGTCCCATGAGGCATCCCCAAGCTCTTGTGACTTTACCAGTAAGTACCATCTAGATTCATAGTTGCCTTGGAACTTTCCTGTGAATCTGATGGGGACACAGAGTGAAACACACTCACCTAGAATGGGGACCATGAGTCCCAAGTCAGGGTCCCAGATCACTGTCCTTCCAGCTCACTGCACACACCCTCCCAGGGCTTAATAGAAGCATGAGCAGAGTTAGTATGTATTGATCTCACAGATATTGATGAGCATCAGAAGCCTTTATCCTAATTGCTCTTGGTTGAAGGTTGATACTAGCTCCTGCTGAAAACAGCCCACAACCTCATATTCAAGTACCCAGTCTTGTAAAACTAACTCAGGAGAGCTCTGTTCAATTGCTGGGCCTGTATTATATGACTGTGAGGTTGCCAAGGAAAATGAGTCAGAGTAATCCCTTTGCTAGGAGATGAGAAACAAAAAAACGCTGGCAGACCTTTAATGTTTTAATTACCTGCTTCCAGAACAATAAAATGGGATTCAGATCTTCCACTTAGAGTTATACATTATTATGGTCCCATAAAATGCCTTGAACTGTTTCCTCAAGTTGTAAGCCTTAAAATTTTCCTTTCATCTGTATTCAACTATTCCAAAGACTAGACTTTAGAAAAGGAAGAATTAAATTTTCCTTTAGTGGCTTTAGTTACAAATATTGGAACCAAAGGCAATTTAAACTTTGTTACTTTCTTGAAAGATTTTTAAGGGTTTTTAAATACCTCCTGGGAATGATGACTAAAGATAATGTGGAATCCTGGAACAGAAAAAGGACATTAGATAAAATCTAAGGAAATTTGAATAAAATATGGACATTAGTTAATAATAATAATGTATCAATATTGGTTCATTAGTTGTGACAAATGTATGTACCACACTAATGTAAGATGTTAATAATAGGAGAGACTGGGTGTGGGGTACATGGGAACTCTGTGCTCTCTTCACAATTTTTCTGTAAGTCTAAAACTATTCTAAAATAAGTTTATTAAAAAAGAATGCCTTCTGATCTCATTGGTGACTCCTTGAGGATTATGTTTGTGACAACAGCAGAGCTCCAGTGGATATTTGGGTATCACAATTGGGCTAAATTGAGTACCCATGAAATGGCGTCTAGGTGTGATTCCAAATGATTTCTTGAGAACTCCTGGCCACAGGGAAAATCTGGCATCCTTAATGACCTTGGAGACCAGGGATTTCAGAGATGCAAATGGAAAATGATCCTTTTATGAGAGATGGATCAAAACTGGAAAGGAAAGGCATGAGGGAATACTGCAGGAACAAGTCCTAAGGGGAGTGTGTGTGTGTGTATAGATGTGTGTTGTCTTCCGTTGTGTGTGTGATGCCTCCCTCAAGCGGCTTATGTTGCTCCCTGTGTCTAAGAGTGTTTTCTATTTCTCATCTGCTGAGAAACCACTCTCATCTCTTAAACTCTTCGAATTCCTCCTCTTTCACAAAACTCTAGTAGGCCAGGGGCATGGATGAGAGTTCTTGCCTGCCTCAGACCTATTTTTCTTATAGGGCCATATCCATCTACCATAAAAGAAATTACAAACAAGTTTTTATAAGCAACTATGTAATCATACAAAGAGCCCAGTACCTGTCTGTGTTAGGTTTTTAAGCCACTCCAATTGGGCTGTTCTTACCGTCCCTCCATTGATTGGAACCATTCTCTTCAGGTTCCCCGTGACGCCCAACCCCCAACGTGCCAAACCCACTGGTTCATTTCCTGGTCTTATTTTGTTTGACTGCTCACCAGCATTTGACATTGTTGCCTACTCCCTCCTTCCTGAGCAAAGAACTTTCTGTTCTTCCATGACACCACATTTTCCTGTTTTTCTTGCTCCTTCAGTGGCTGCTCCTTCTCGGTCTCTTTGGCTGGCATCTCCTCTTCTTCGCTGTCACCATTGCATGCCCCTGGCTTAGGCCTGGCTCTCTTCTCTGTGTATGTCCACTCCCTTGGTGATTGCATGCTAATCCATGGATTCAAATATTATCTATATGCTGATGATTAACCGGCTCCCAAACTCTTCCCAGAGCTTCCTGCTCATATACCCAGCATCTTACTTGATAGCTTTACCTGAATATCTAACAGACACCTTGAACTTCACTTGTCAAATATACAACTCTTGATTCCAAAGAGAGTTCAGACCACTGAGTAGAGAAGAGCTGTTACTGTATCCACATTTTCCTGCATAGACCTTTACTGCCCCTCAGCCCTGCGTTCCCAAGGCTAAACTAGCTAAATGTAGAAAATGGTCGTTGATAAGGGGCAACGGACTTTCAAATAAGACATGTGGGAGATACGTGTATTGAAAATTGACTGAAATTAGGAACTATGTATGCATATCTTTTATTGATTAATAGCATTGAACAAGTGCTTCTTTTGTGCCAGGTACTATTCAAAGTACTTTACATGTTTCATATCATTTAATCCTTTCAATAATCCTAAACGTAGATATTATGGTCCCATTTTCATATCAGAAAATGGAGACACAGAGAGGTTAAGTAACTTGCTTAATATCACAGAGCCAATAGGAAACAGTTAAGCTTTGAACCCAGACAGCCAAATATACTCTAGGGAGACATGGTGAAAATTACAGTTTTTCCCACCCCAGGGTCATGTTCCTACTCAAATCACATTGCATGCCTTGTATTCTATTATTAGACTCTGGTCTTTAACCTAAATTGTGTATAGAAATCTTATGCCAGAGGAATAGGAAACAAAAGGAATTAAGTGAGTTCTATTATGTATAAACATTTCAGAAACACTTATTAAAGAAGGAACATTTATAAATTAGATTTAAAAATAAAGACAGCATTAACCACGTGCTGCTTCTGCTAACATAGGCGTGGAATGTGGGACAAAGATGATCTCAGAGAGTGAGCCAATGGGAAATCTTAACTGAAATATGTTGCTTCTGCACCTTTTGACCTGACACAAGTCCTTGTGAGAATTAACTAACCAATGACTGCAAACCCTCAAGCCTTTCCCTTGAATGACGTGGGATATGCTCAGCTAATTAGATTATTGGGGCTCAAACCCCCAACCCGGCACAGCTGCCCCCTTGATCACATACCTATGGAGCTGTGTGGTCTGTCTGTTCTCCCCACGGACACAGAGACACGATCCACTGGACACTGAATTCTAAAAACTGTTAGTACATCAGCTTTAAGCAATAAAAATGTTGGTGTGGAAAAGAAAATTGGGAAAGCTGGGTAAGGTGTTGAAAAGCACTCATTTCTATAGGAAATTTATTGAAAGTGTTATTTTCAGAAAATGCCCAATTTCCGTAAAAAAATTTAATGAGAAATCTTTTTTCCCCAAACATATTGCATTATTCCATCTAAAAATAAAAGTTAAAAACTTCCTAAAGGTCACTCTTTTCATTAAAAAACTTCAAGCAAATGAGATCGGATATTTTTGGTAGGTTTTAAGGACAGGTTTTTATAAATATTATGCACAATTCTTTTGAAGCATTTCCTTTCCACAATATACACCAACACACTTATTGCTGAAAAACTGGCCAAAAACATGTTTATTAAACAATGAAATATATACAGGACTGTGTAAGGACTACTGGTTTGGACTAAAACATCCGAATCATCTTGCCTTTTACTACACTATTAATCATGTTTTTTTCACTTTTGAATAAAAAGACCAATTTTTTTAAAAGTTAGCTAACCAATCCAAATGTTAATGCTCACCTAAACTTAGTTTCTTCCTATCTTCCTATGTTTTCTAATGAGTGGTATGTGAGAAAGCAGTAAATATAATACTATTAGGTAAAAACAGAGCAAAGAAACAATATAAGTTGATGTTTTGAGTTCCTGCTTTTCTTTGTGATCACAATAAGAAAAAGAGACATGGTACCTATCTCTTTTATTTAATTGTTATTTGGCATTGAAGGCCAACAGGAAAATATAGCCAGACTTTTAAAATAGAAACAAGCAGTCCAGATTCCATGGAGATATCTGTTATATAATATTAGCCTGAGTGAGTTTATCTGTTTAGGGACTAAAGAGAAGACCATTTCATTCTTTGCTTAATGCACTGAAAACATTTCCTTTTAAAGGCAAAATCTCAGTAAAGAGCAATTCATATGCCTGGAACCCGAAAAGAGTGTTTCATGGTGAAAGCCGTCCATAAGTGTACATCATGTTCAGGAAAAGCAAATACGTACTCCAAAAAGTAGGTGACGCCGACGGTGGCTCTTCAAACTGTCACAGAACTTTCCTGCCATGCAGCAGAAATTCTGAAGCTATTAAAAACTGTCTGTCATGCTAGATATGCCTTTTAAAAAAGAAGAACAGAAAAATTACTTACATCCCGGAGTTCCAACGCGAGGCTCGCTTCTCCACCCGGCAGACCTCTGCCTGATCCTTCACTCCGGCTTGACAGCTGGTTTAATTGGCCAGGCAGGATGGAATGCATGGTCCTGCACTTGCTGTTCTTTTCCGTTTGCAGAGGGCCAGCGGCCCTGGTCATTTCCATGGCAACCAGAAGGAAGCTGCTGGCCTACCAGTTTCATTAACCACACAGCAGGAGAGAACCTGCCTTGGTGACGGCTGGCCACTCTTTTGGGGTTCTAAAGTGGAAAGTTTCCAGGAGGAACTAAGGAGACTGCTGCTGTGTGCTGACCCCAAAAGACTGACAGTAATGGAAGAAATTCGACTTTAGCAGGAAATGAATGGATTAAGTGTAGAGCATAGAGACTCCTTGATACTTTTACTTTCATGAATTGTTCCACTCTTTTTGGCCTGATGCATTGTTACTTAAGGCAAATGCCTGAACTAGTGTAAAAATTGTCCTATTGTGGTTGTTCCAAAGAGAAAATGAACTCATTTCAACTCCAAAGATGTAGTCCAGCTCTCTCTCTCTTTTTTAAGTTCATTTTTAAAAATGTTAAAAGCCACAAAGCAAATAAACATGTAAAAAATATTCTGTATACATTAACTAATGAGGGCTCACTGAGTACAGGAGAAATCAGGTGGATCGTAGTGATGAAGGAAAGTCTTGCTAATTAAAAACACTAGGAAACTAGAGCAATTGATTTTAATTACCCGGATGTAGATATCCAACATTTTAATGAAGAAAGCACCTCGCTAGGGAAATTCATTCGTTTATTTGCTCTTCATCTAGTGAACTCTTACCACATGCATGCACTGTGTCAGGAGTTTTAGCAGTCAACAGAGATAAATGTCATGTTGTTGTCTTCAAAGACGTTATAGTAGGAAAGAAGAGATTATATAAATTGATTGTGGGAAATGTTTGAAGGGAGGTACAAAGAGAATATGTGAGCGTTTTAGAGAAGGCGGGGCTGCATTTTGGCAGGGAGATTGGAGAAATCTTTGTAGATAGGTCGTTTCATCTGGGCCTTAAAGGATGGCTAGGATTTGGGGGGTCAGATACGGGGGAAAGGACAAGAATGCCTCATGTAGTGATTCTCTGCTCAATGGAGGATGCAAGCTGATGATAGATCAATGTTTCCTCCTTTCTCACCCCATACAGTCTTGACATGTACATCATCTGGCTTCTCAGGCAGTCCACAGGATCAAGCAATTAAGAAAATTGTTGGAGCAAAAGTTTGGAGATGGGAGAGTACCAGGCGTACTCAGCTCTTTTGAAAGCCAGTGAATCATAGTCAGGAACAAGAAGATTGAGAATAGAGAGAATCCACTGTCGTTGATGTTTAGTTTCAGCAAAGCAAACATAAATTCTACCATATGAGAATGGTGGACTTTGGTTCAACTCTTGATTTTTCTACCTTCTAGAATATTATTATTTAAACTTTATCAGCCTGTTTCCTTATCTCTAAAGTGGGGATAGCAATACTTCATTGAAAGGTGAGGTGACGATTAAATGAGATGGTATATGTGGATGGAATGCCTTAGGATGGAGGAAGGGAAGGCTGATCAGCCACACACCAACTTTCCCAACTTTCCAGAACGATTGTGGCTAATGCAATAGTTTAGCATACTCAAACTCTGCTCCAATGCCTTTCTTTCTTGCCTGCTTCTGCTATAGAGATTGGAAGACTAAAATACTCAGCTTACAGAATCCTCAACTACCATTGCAGCTGGGGCTCCAGACATGATTTAAGTTTTATTGATCATTTATCCTTGATTCAGAACTGAGTCACATGGAGAGAGGACCGTGAGACTTTGTTTGGGAACTGAGTTCGGTGAGGAGTGAGAGGAGAGTTCTGGGCATCTCTATTGCTGGTGTGGGTCTCAGCAGAATTGGCCTGGTCTGGCACTAGCACTCTGGGAGTGGGTTTCTGATTGGCTTGCTTCCCAGTTGTGGCAGATGTGTCATGACTCAGAGCTGATGACTGTGGCAAGGGCTTGCTGTTAGAGAAGGTGACCTCTTAATTCAGCAACTTTCTGCTTGTGGAAGAGGCAGCAGCTCCCTTGATAGCCCAATTCTGTGATGACATTATGAGTTCAGCCTAGAGTCTGTTCAGTGCCCCTGCTCATTCAAGAACTATCTGTATGTCTTAAGAAACTCCTAGCTGTTTAAACCAGCTAGAGTGGACTGTGTTGTCTGTAACCACCATGAACCCTGAATGACATACCAGTGACTAGTTCTGGCCAATATAAAGTCAATGGAAGTTTACTGATACTGCCTTTTCTGCATCTTCTTCTTGCTTGAACATAGACGCAGACTGGAGGAACAGTTCCCGTCACTAAGGAGGGCACATCAGGAACATGAAGGAGCCTGGTGCCCTGAGGACTTTGCTGAGTCCCTACAGCAGCTCTGCAAAAGAGAGATGATATCACCTGATCACAATTGTTTTAATCACTAACTAAGATAAGCTACATGAAGTATTGAGTACAAACTGTACACAAAGGAGGCATTCAATAATGGTAGCCGTTATAATTATTACTCTTTTGAACTTTGTCTATTTATGATGTCAGTCCAGGACCTCTTGCTGAGTGGGGGATGGAGACAAAAGCAAAGATGGCGTGGAGGTGGATTCCTCCCTGGAAACTTGAAGGCCAAGCAAACAGTGGCTAATGAAATATGGCTGGATCTCTGTGTGTGGCATGTTAAACATTTACCACGGGTTTTATATCGCTCCATCTTTCTAAAACATTGACTTCCATTTGCTTTTTGTGTTAACTGGGTCACAGAGTTTAAGTTGAGTTAGCAAAAATGAGCTCTGGGAAGTCTAACGAAACCATGCCCTGGACTGCCTGTTAGGTTCAGCTGCAGAATCAAGGGGTGGTGGATAAGTGTGTGTCCACGGTGGGCTTGAATTCTAGTTTTGTCCTTGACTAATTTTGCTTTCTTCCTTTCTTTTTAACCACAAGAGCAAGTCAGGCTACTGATAGCACATTCAAATAATACCCAGTGTGTTAGGTTAACAGTGAAAATCGACACCTACCTTTCCAACTTATCCTGCAGAAATAACACTGGTCTAAGTCTGCATTGAAGCAAATCTTGCTTTGTCTTCAGACTATGGCAACTGCTTTGGTTGTTAATTAACATGCTGGTTCCCTAAACTCTTTTACAACCAGGCCTCAAACTCAACTGTTTCCAACAGCCTTTCTCCGTGAATTATCATCTGAAGTCTCCTACCAATGGCTTAACCACCTCCAAATCATTACCGTATCTTCTATTACTGTTTGTATCAACCTGGGCGACTTCAGGACCCATCTCAGGTTCCCCCTTTCCTTCCCAGCTCCTTCTGCGGCATCGCCAACATGCACATTACTCAATTCACTGCAGGATACAGACATTCGTGTCCTCCCCTAGTAGCACTGACTGTGCTCTAGGTCTGTCATCAGTATAGGGCTCTGTTCCACCTTCAAGATGCCACTGCTTCCTCTTTGTTCTTTCTTCCAGGCTCCTGCTCTGCTCCACTCTCATAGAAACCTCCATATGTCAGTGCTTTACCTCATCTGTTCTATCTGCTCTTGACTCTGTGGTCAGCTGCTTCCATTCTGCCCTCCCCACTGATCTGATGACCCCCCCATCCAATCTTTGCTGTATGCTCCATACCAGCCCACCCCATTATGCCCATTATCTGCTTTCTCAGCTTCTACTCTTAGGGTGCAGACACACATGGAGAAAATGCAAAGAACTAAAAGTTCATAATACTTGGCTTCAAATGGACCCCTGCCACTATCCCACCATCCTTTCAGTCTGCTCTGGCTCAGTGGCTTTGATAATTATTCTCTACCTGTATCGAATACTCATCCCTACCACAGCATCCTCATTCTTGTAAGGTGGCCTTGCATTTTATTTTCCTGAGAGGAGCCAGGGACCTGTTCTGGGTTTTCTAATCATCTTGCTTACAGCAATATATATCTTCTTAAACTACAAACATTTTGGATCAAGTACCTCTTATGCACCACTCATATCCTTTCAGCCACACTTGTCTTTTATTCCAGCCACCGGTTTTGCCATGGGTCCAACCAGCTGCACATGGAGGCAACCTGCAAACACCTGTTGCCTCCCATCCTAAGGCTTCTCTCTTTTCACTGTGGCTTGGGACACTGCTGACACCTCTCAACATGCTGCAACATGGAAGTGCTGGGGAGTTAATGCCTCATGGAGTATTCTTTGACCAATGGTGGGATACAAGCTGCTGGATAAATGCTTCCTCCTTTCTCACTCCAGACTGGCAGTCCTGAGACGCATGTCATACGGCTTCTCAAGTGGTCCATGGGATCAACTAACTCAATTAACATACCTTGTGCTGCTTCTCACTGCTTCACTCTCCTTCACTCCTGCTTCTTGGGGGTCACCATCCCTAATAAAGTACTTACAGATATGTATTTTTCTGATGCTCCACTCTCTGCAGAAATCTGGCTAAGACATATCCTTTATTCTTCTTTCCAGATTCTAAAATAAATTCTTCCTCCTCTGAGATAAAAAACCAGCCCTTCCCATTTCCTGACAGAGCTTTCTTCTATAATGATATCCTCACCTCTTCCAGTAAGTAGAATCTTGATAGTTTTAAGGAATGTATGCTCAGAGCTTCAAAAATCCCACTTTGTGAGTACCTCTCTTAAATATAATTACTTCCGTAAAGTGAAGAGAATACCTGAAACATCAACATGTCTGAGACCCTTATATGGTTTTATAAAGTACTAAAGTAATTTCTAATAGTACATCACCTTAATAGCAATGTTATCCATGAGCTGACCTGGATCTACAAAGAAGTAGAGATCCTCCCACTTTATGATAAAGCATATATAGAGATTAGTAGAGAATATCAAAGGCACCATATGATACAGATGTTGGGCAGCTGGCTAAACTTGCTCTTGTGCACAGCAGTATCACAGCTGACATGATTCCAATGTGTATCTTGGCAAATTAAAAAATTACTACCTGTCTTGGATTGTGGGGGTCATTGACAAATGGTAAGAACCATGAATGTTGAAGCCAAAAATGCCAGGGACCTACTGTACTTTCTATCTCTAAATCTCTACTCTCTAGAGTTGGACTTGAGATGTGCACAACCTGCTCATCTTAAAAAAATAAACCTTCGCTTGACTTTATAGTGCCCCTCAGCTTTCATTCTGTTGTCAAATAGATCTACTGAAAGTTCACTCTAAGGAACTTCTCATGACTTTCTTTTCAAATCCAGTGACTATTTTGAAGCCTTAATCTACTTACCCTCTCTTTGGAGATTGACTATTAACCAACTTTTCCTTGGTCTTCCATTGTCATCCATGATTCTGTGATTTTTCTCTCGTGTTTATACTTCATTGATCACATCATCTCTCTCTCTCCTTTTGGTTCCTCTTTCTCCTCCCTTTGAGTACTACCTAAAGCTCAGTCCTTGACCCTGATCTTCTTTTATATTTCTTCTTCATGCGTTCCAATCTTTTGTTTCAATTATACTAAGGTTACTCTCACTTGGAGAAAAAAACTCAACCTAGGCCATTAGAAATAGGAGGGCTGTCTTCTTGATACTTGGTCATCAGTCCTCAGTTTGAATCTCTCCAGAATTAAATGGTTTACCTCCTTCCACAGCAGCTTTTTTTGTTTTCGGAGAGGTCTACTACGTAAAATGGTTTATTATGTACAGCTGAGTATGTCTCCTGGTAATTTTGAGATATTGACTGTTTTTCTGTCCTCCAAAGTAATATTGAAAAATCTTCCCTCTTCTTCTTGGTGACCATTAGCAATACCCTGTTGGCTCATATAAGCTCCTCTTAGTCACTCAGGCCCCAAGCCCTGGGAACATTTTTGATTCTTCCTTCTCCTTTAGTTCAAGAGTAAACAAGTCACCAAGTACTGCAAGTCTTGTTTTGAATTTTCTCCTGCAATGGCATGTTTTGAGGTAGAAGAATTAAATGCTGTAAAAATAATCTTATCTGAAATTAATTTTTAGAGCTAATGCAATCTTGATAACAATCTCCACTGGATTTTTTTCAAAGGATTTTATACAAGTATTCTGAAGTTCAACTGAGATAATAAACAAAGAATATTCCCAAAATGAAGATGATAAGGGGAGATTAGTCATTTGAGTTCTTCAAACAAAGTGACAGTCATTAAAATAGTGTGGTACAAACTTGGACATGGACAAACAGATCAATGAAACAGCATAAACACCTAGAATTATAGTTTATTAAATATTGAAAAAATGTGATATATAAAAGAAGACAATACATCTCAACGAGGAGACTGAAGATTACTCAGCAATGATTCTGGAATCTCTGGCTAGGAATTTGGAGGAAAATCTAAATTTAGATGGTCACTACATATTGAATAAACTCCATACGGGATTAATGAAAAAAATTAAACCATAGAAAAAGAAGAAGAAAATTAAATGAATCATGATTAAATCGCTGGAACACTGAGAAACTTTTAAGATAAGATGTTATTGATAGCACAGCCACTTTGGAAAACAGTCTGGCAGTTCCTTGAAAGGTTAAATACAGAGTTACCATATGGCCCAGCAATTCCACTGCTAGGTGTCTATGCAAGAGAAATGAAAACACATGTGCACACAAAAACTTGTACATGAGTGTTCATAGTATCATTATTCATAATACCCAAGAAATGAAGACAACCCATATCTATTAACTGACAAATGGATAAATGAAATGTGGTATATTCATACAATGGAATGTTCTTTGGCAATAAAGAGGAATGAAGCACTGACACGTGCTGAAACATAGATAAACCTTGAAAACATTATCTAAGTGTAAGAAGCTAGTCTGAAAGCACTATGAGTGGTACGATTCCATTTATATGAAATGTGCAG